CACCGATACCATCGCGATTCGGGAGGCGATTCGATTTCTCTCCGGTGACCTTTCCTTTCACGTGGGGCAGGTCGTGCCAGGGCCAGGTGCGCGCTCGCTCCACCGAAAATACCGGCGGTCCATCTACCTGCCGCGTTTACCACCACGCGTCCCGACGCGACCGCACCGTGCCAGACGGATCGTACGAATCTCCTCTCGGACGTCCTTTGTGAGAGGATCCTCGGAGGCTCGCTCGACTTCGTCCGTATAAAAGCCGACGAGGTCATTGCCTTCGCCATTCGTCGTCTGGTCGGGCTACGACCGTTTTATCTTTTTCACGGAGACGGCGATGGAGGCGGTGGAAGATGGTAAAAAAATTTCGTCTCTCTCGAGAGAGAGAGATAGGGATCGCAGGTTCGAGGACTGCTCCGCGGGGTTAGCGAACTCCATCGTTCTCGTCGCGTAAGAGTAACGAGAAACTGGCTGTTTCTTACGTTCGAGCGCCCCTCGAGAGTTACGATTTCGCGCCGCAAATAGATTCGATTTGAGCGCGGGCAAAGATGCGAGCTACGCGACATGAAAGCACGTCATGTCTCTTCATTTATTCGTAAGTGCAAAATCACGGCCGTGTGTATCGTGATATTCTGACTAGAAATTAATCCCACTGATCCCTGATCAGATTGACTTCAATCAGTTGTCTGGTTTGCGATGTCATCCTGATAAGCCGTGTAATGCATCGTGGCAATCAGGACCTTATTAACGGTACAGGATTATCGATAATCAGGACCTTATTAACAATCAGGAGCCGATCCCATCACCTTGTACAAACCAGACAACTGATTGGGATCACCTGATCGGGGCTACGAGATAAATATCTGGTTGGAATTAAATAGCGCGATGTATCATGGCGCCGGCCGCGGTTTCCCGCGTCGCGAGATAATCCGCCGAGTTATTTAACACGCGACATTTCGAGATGCTTATTAAATTAAGGCACAAAGGAGTGAATGGGGCACGATTATCGAGAGGAGGAAGTCGTAATCACGAGCGCGCTGTAGCGTCGCGTTATATCGGAGATTCCCCCGGAGATAGCCGTCGGAACTTTTGCCCGTCATGATAGCCCGATACGCCGAGTATTCACTGACATTCAGCCGGGGTGAGACGTAAAGCGTTCCGGGGGGCTGCGTGCGGTACAAAGGTGAGAGAGACAGGTGTCCGGCGAGGGTGCGTTCACGGTCTAACGACCTGCGAACGGACGCTGCCTCGTTCTCGCTTCATACGAGGCGAGCTTTTTATCTTTAGCATCGAACACGGCCGATCTTTAGGACGGCCATGTGGGACGTGTATTCCACGGTATCTGTGTGTGTGTGTGTGTGTGTGTGTGTGTGTGTGTGTGCACGACGGCGCACGTGTACGTAGGCCAATATCGGTCGACCCCGTACTATCTGTCTCGACGTTGCGCGACGAGAGAAAGAAGCCCGATAAAGAGAAAAAGCACCTCGGCGAGGTGTCGCGTAATGACAGTGACCTTTGTTGTGTGCGGCTTTAGCGGAGTATCTTTGGCATAGAAAGCGGCCGCCAACGGAGGCACGTCAAGCCGTACAAAAAATCTTTTGCATACGTCTCATTTTTATAGCGCGAGGTAAAAACTGCGCGATCGTCTGACTAAGGCTCTATGACACTTTTTTCCCGCAAGCTACGTAGTCTCGCGTTTTCTCACCTTTTCGTCAGTATTTTTCGTCATTGATACATAGAAGATAGAGAAGTTATGTTTACTCTTGATGTGTCACTGCAATTTAATTGTTACGCACGTCTGTCAAAAAGCCACTTTTATTGACTTTGAAGAAATGTGCGATCGGTTTAAAACGAGAGACAAACAAATCTATAATTGCTATAGTTCATCTCGAATATAACATTTCGCGAGGGAGTCTCGCGAATTGTTGTTTACGCTGGACATCAAATGTTTTCTATTATTAAACTCATCATTCATTTAGCCAATTAATATTTACCGTATACGTCGCATTTTAAAATCGACGAGAGCTATAATTTTATATTACGTACGAATTTCTATCTTCTTTTTCAGCGTCGCTTTCCCGTATTCATTATTTTTCAGAACGCAGATGAATCGGTTAATAGAAACGCGACAACATCCAAGTCGCAATTTTGGCTCTGCAATCTTCTCAAATTCCATCGAACGTGAAGGATCAATAAAATGAAGGAAAAAAAATTTATAATGAAAAAATTACAATTCCATAATAATATATAATGTTCAATTATTTCCATATTTTATCTACATTCAATTTCCATATTTTATTTACATTCAATCTGTCGATTTTAATCAGTAATATATTAATAATATAACCTAATCAATTGCATATAAAGTATGTGAGGTGGGCAAGTATTAAATAATTAATGTGGTTAAATAATATAGGTTTAATCGATAAGTAAAGGGACAAACTATCTTTATTCGTAGCTCTTTCATTCTTTGGAATTCTATGTAATTTGAAACTCTTAAAAGAGCTGATAAAGAGGAAATTATAAAAGCAAAGATGACGGTTATGTGTCTGAGAATGCTGTTTACCGAAAGATCTAAATTTAGATTCTGTACAATAACAAAGTTGAACGGAAGTAAAAAGAAAGCATTGGCAAATGTAAACAAGATCAAGCTCGCGGTCCAAAGAAAGTGCAATATTCAACGTAAAAAGCAATACTTGCCAGATTTACATTGGATTTTATACAAAGCCGGTATATATTTAGGGTTCAATAAATTATTCACGATGCTTTGATTGTGAGCATAATTAACCAGAGATTTGTGTTTATTGAGACCGTTATTCGGCTGTTTGAGTCAATATTTCTTGCATGGAGCAAATGCAAGTGCAGGTTAACGAACAATTAAATTCACGAAATTATGATCATCAAGCTATAATTTGTCAAACGAATGACGGTCTATATGAATGTCAACCTAAATTTCGTCTCAGGTACAGTACATTCGTCAATTACGATCGAGAAGTTTTCATATAATGAGTGATTTCGCACACACCTGGAAATACACGATGTATCGCCGTCCACGTCCCGCGTCCTGTATTCTTCGTATTCTTGCCTTCCCGATTCAACATCCCGGTTCCCGGCTGCTCTGTCGTGACACTACCGCTCTGAGACTGTCACTGACACTCACGTCATCGACACGATTCGATCAGAGAAACGCGGATCAATGACGCTATGTCCACGTGAAAGCACGATGAAATATTTCAATAGTCAACAGAATATTCTGATCACCCGACGGGGATGATAATATCGATATATATATATTATGGTGCACATTTCCGCTGTCTCGAAACGTAATGGAGACATTTGGAAAAGAGTTCGTGACGTGCGAAGATAGGATCGACCGCCTTGAAGGTCCGCAATGTTTCGAAAGCGTTCATTGTTGCGATGACGCGTCGCTCAACGGCGGGCGACGACTGTTGTCGATTGAAGGCAGATGACTCTGCCCTTTTTGCTGATTGTTTTGTTTACTCCCGCGCGTCTCGTACCTCGCCATAACCGAGTACGATTGCATTACGTCACGAGCCGGTATTTACAGTTCCTAGCGAGGTTCCTATTAAGATGTTTCATCGACTTTTCAAGTATTTTTATTCGGCATCGTGTTATTTAATTAATGACACGCGTTTCTCTGATCGCACCTACGTCATTATCTACGTGATTATGAGTACCATCAACTAGTTTCCGGAATGCCACGACGGAACAACGAGGTGTAGATCATTGGATCAGAAAGCCAGGCCATTGCAGGACGTGGCGATGCGACATCATTTATTTCCAGACGTGTGAAATCTATCCTCATTCTACACGATGCGACCGATTTCAAAGAATGTTTGACAAGTTTAGCGATATAATAAGTATAAGATGCAAAAAATACAACAAGAAACATTGATCCAAGTGGCCGTTTAACGACCTATGAATTCTTATAATTTTAAATATTTTGAGATTACGAATATCTCGACCTTAGAATCGAAATTTCTTGTATCAATTCGTTATTTTATTTCAATTGTATCAAATCTAAATACAAAATTTTATTGGCATTTAATATTATCGAACACATAACTGTTACTTTTATTTTAACCGCAGCCTTCTTTTTAAAAAGATACTAAGTGCGGATATAATACTGATAATATGATCGAATATAAAATTTCTGTTTGTTGTATCAACAATAGTTCGTATAATGCCGTACCTCGAGAATCTCCATTGATCCGTCAAATCCAATGGAATTTACAAGTTTGATATAATTTCAATTCGAGAATCACAGCGATGATATCTGTGTGAATAAAAATCGTACACACAATATCTCGCCTTGAGTGTCTCGAGGATAAAAAGGGAGTGACGGAGGATTCCTTATAACACAATATCCAAAGGGTAGGTTAAGTTCATACGGGTAAGTTATGCGTTTGGAGAAACCGGGACAAGGATAACAGTGGTGCTGTCGTATCTTGTCAACGATTCCTGACCAGGAAATTTGCATCTAATAATAATTATGCTGATCGTGCGAGAGAGGAAATGACGAAATATTTAAATGCAAGAATGGAGGTTTCGCTTCACCGTTTTTCGTAATGTCCGAATGAAGAATGTGCGCGAGAACGCGATTTCGCCGCGATATCTTTTAAATAAGTATTTCTCGAGTAAAAGTGTGGCCACACGAATCACGATGTTATAGATACGATTACGATGACGCAAGCACACGCAAGGCGCAACAGATAGGCCGCGGTGCAAAATTCGAAGTACGGCGCGGGTTGAATAATTTTCGTATTCGAGCGACGAGAGGTGTACAGAATTAGCATAATCGTCGAGATGGAACCGCGCCGTTCCGTAAACTGCATTCTGCTTCTAAATGACATTTAAAAAGACTATTCCGTTCGCGAGGGCACAGCTTTAGTGCCGATTCGGTGGCTGTTACGTACGACCTTATCTGCTGTCCCGGTATAAAAGCGCTTGAGATAAGAGACAGTAATAGGGAAAGGAGAAGAACTTACCCCATCACATGTGGCACGTCGATAGAGTGGGAGGATGCCCGTTTACGGTCGCCAGCCATATCGGCGAGTCTGGCAAAATCAGTGTCCTGATCGGCCAATCGGGCACTCTTACGTGATTCGAGCAACCTGATCTCCTCTATGCGTTTGGTTAGGCTCATTGTACCCTGCAACAAAAAACCAGAAAGGCCCTTAGACCTTAGAGCTGACGACACTTCCGATTTTTAGCGACTCACAACGACTCGCTTGCCTTCCCACACACTGGGAAAAGAAGCGCTTGGCATTTGTGACCATAATCGCATACACTGGGAGAAAAAATTAAAAAATAAAAGACATTTATTCGGTGGGTATTATATATTACATTTATTTTTACTAATATGTGATAAATTTTTCAAATAAGAAAATATATATAAATATTTTCTGTGAAAACCTTAGCTTTTCATGAAAGCAATTGCTTATTCTATTGAAATAAAAGAATTGAGATTTCAAATTTTTATATGTGTAATTAGTATCCACAGAATATAAATTTTTTATTTTACAGATATTTGTCATTTCAGTGTAGTGAAAGGAGAATTATTCACGTAATCAGTGCATTGCTACAACATAAGTGACAATGACCTCATATGCATGTATTAATGCATATAATGCTATTAATTTCCTTTTGTCAGAACAGCGAGAATATATGGTTGGCGCCGAAAATGACAATAATTTCAGCGAGATTCACCAATCCTTCCTTTCAGTGTGTACGATCGAAGCGCCAATTCCCGATGTATTCCGCGCTTTCCCGGAACATCAGCAATTCCGGCGGTAACGGTGACGATAGTAATATAAAACAGTAATCTGTGTGCGTTCGCTCATTAAGCCTCATTAATTTCGTAACCTAGTTGGCGGACGATCTTTCGCGTGATGAGCCGCGCGCAGGTTTCAATGGAACAAAGAGCTAGTTACACGAGTGCAAATGTCGCGACGGAAGATCGTAAAGCTACTGAGCGATCCACCCGTGACGTGGGAAACCTTGGTAACGCCGCAGAAAGCTCGCACACGATCGCGAAGTTTCGGCATTGACAAACACGCATGCAACATATCCAATCTAGCCCCGCGCGGAATGTTTCATCCAGCGGCGTTCATAACCGTGGCCCGCCCGCGAAACGTTCCAGCCGCGCATCGAAAGTTCGGAATTGAATTTCCGAAAACCATTCCCCGCGCTCTCGTAGCAATCGCGTAATCACGCGATGGTATTCGCACGCGGGCACGCGCGCGGATAAGCGCGCCAGCGGAGAAAGTGTGAGATTTTGAGCGTATCCCGTCGCGGACTTTCCCTCGCGACCGGCCGAGCTAATTGTTAATCGCGACCGATTACTTCCTTGTAATTACTCGGCCTGCCGATCACCGAGCATCGCTGGCGCACTGCAGGTTACAATTACCGCAGAGCTTACGGTTACGTGCGCGCCCGCGCCGGCTCTCGTCGCCGCCGCCTTTTGTCTTTTGTTTCATCGGTGTGCAGCTCGGTTGCAAAATACATTACCAGATTGCTTGTTATTCCAGCGCGCGCGACAGTAAAGTTGATGCACGGTGAACAGATACGCGGTCACGTACGAATGTTTACACGCAAATTACGCAATCGCGCTCGCCGCGAAAAAAACGGGACAGCTCTCGAAATTTCGCCGGTTATTGGTCGCGGGTTTCCGGTTTCAAGCACCCACGAGGAGAAAGACCCGTTGCCGCTCGTTCCTACCCGCGCCCCACGCAGGTCCCACGCGGTATAATAATTTACTTATTTGTCTATTTTATATCAGGTATGCGAGATTAAATTTACCTCTTTGTATACGCAAAGAAAGCACATCACATATAGAGATAAATTAACAGAAAGAAAGGGAGAAAAATAAATTGTATATTAGTAAGAGGATTAATAAGTTTGCTTCTTAGCATGTTTTGCGATATTAAAAAATCGATATTGCTAGAAAAATCATTAACACCGATGAAAATAAATTGTAAATGTATAAAAAGATGTATTTGCACGGACGCGGTATAATTTCACGAGATTTTTCGTATAACCGAAGGGCATATTAAGAGAAAAAATATTTAAAAGTAAGAAATATTTGTTCGATGCATACTAATAACATTCACTTGTACTAACAATGTTTAAATTGAGAAAATATTTCTCTCAAATGAGAAAATATATATTTCCCTAAAACACCATTGCTTTTCATGAAATAAAAATTGTTCATTTCGACAAAAAAAGGAAAATTTAAGTAGATATGTGCTATTAGTATTCTGAATGAATATTTTTTATTTCTTAGACAGATCAGTCTCTAAATATAAAACCATGGCATACTAATGTATATATATATGTATCACATATCTGACAGTATATCTCTGACAGAAATATCGTCCGAACGAATATATTATCGAGAGAAACAGAAATAAGCGGAAATTAAGCAGGTCCATAAGTCATGAGGTTCATTTTAAACAAGAGCTCGTGCATGCGAAGCGAAGCTCGGGAATCACGAGCTCGGCCTGTTCTCGATCGTGTCGGCTCGTATCTACGAGCGATCTCGCACAACGCGCAAAATTTGCGAAGAAATCGCGCGCGTGTCACGGCCGGAGCCGCGAAAAAGTCACGTCTCATCCCGCCTCGCGCTCGATTTCCAAGGCGCATCTCTCGCAAGACGCTTGGTTCCGTGTCGCGGTATTGAATTTCGACACACCGTGTATGCGTGCCGTACGTGTCACGCGCGTATACACAAACGCGCCTACACAGACGCGCCCGCGCGCGATCACGAAACGAAACCAACGAGGCAGCACAAGGCTGTTAACCCGCGGCAACGTCGTCATTATATTCGCATTATCGTGCCTCCGTCCGTGTGCGTAGTAGATGGCCGATACAGGCGCGTACACGCACGATCCGCGGTTTTATCGCGGTTACTCGCGGCCCCGCGGATAGTCGCCGCCGCCGTGGCGATGGCCCTCGCGCGCACCAATACCTCGCGATTTTCCCAACACTTGTTTCGCAACTATCGACAGTTACCTTAAAACCGCTCGCGTAGCCCGACCGTCACGGCAAAACTCGCCTGAAATTTTTGCGAATGTCGAAGTACCGCAGACATACGGTTTCTTTCTCTTTCTCACACAGACACACATACTACTCTCTCTCTCTCTCTCTCTCTCTCTCTCTCTCTCTCTCTCTCTCTCTCTCT